TTGGAAAGACCAGGTGGAGAAGGACTTGGCTTCACTTGGCATTTTCAATTGGCGTCAGTTAGCACAGAAGAGAAATGACTGGCGTGTTGTTTTGGACTCGGCCAAAATCGCTTAGGCGGTTACAGCGCCAAATAAGAAGAAGAAGAAGAATCTATCAGTTTGCAACATAGCAGCGAATTCAAACTGGAAATGAAGAATTTAGTTTCTCTCCTGTAACGGATAACGATGTAATAAGAAGAATCTATTCCATTAAATCGAACGCTATAGCTGTGGACGGTATAAGTTTAAAATTTTTGAAAATGATCCTTCCATACGTAGTCCATATCTTAAACTTTTCTTTCACTACTTCTACGTTTCCAGACGCATGGAAGATAGCTATGGTTACTCCATTTCTGAAAAAGCACGCAGTCTCTTCACCATCTGATTTCCGTCCAATAAGTATACTGTCTTCGTTGTCCAAGGTCTTGGAAAAGCTAATGGTAAGACAGATAGTTGGCTACCTTGATGAACATAAACTCCTCGCGGTGTATCAGTCTGGGTATAGAAGTAGCCACAGCTGTGCTACAGCTATTTTGAAGGTAACTGAGGATATAAGACCACCATATGACAGGGGTGAGCTAACAGTTTTAGCTCTGTTAGGCTTCTCCAAGGCCTTTGACAAGGTTGATCACAGTATACTCATGCTAAAGCTAAAGAGATATTTTGGATTTTCTGATGGTGCCATAAAATTAATGGAAAATTATCTTACTAATAGTTGGCAGAAAGTTGTCGCTAAAAACGTGGGCTCTGAGCTAAAGAAACTACATTCGGGAGGGCCGCAGGGGTCTATACTAGGTCCAATCCTATTTAGTATTTTTTATCAAAGATATTGTTAACTGCTGTAAAAGCGTATCCATTCATTTGTATGCGGATGATGCCCAAATTTACCTCTCTCACCCTATAGGACTTTCTGAAGACTTAATAGCTAGAGTCAGTGAAGATCTTCACTCGATATCTGTTTGGGCAAAGCTTAATAATTTGAATTTAAATTCAACGAAGACCAAAGCTATATGTATCTCATCCCATTTAAACTCGCAAGATTACATTCCATCATTAGCCTTAGAGAACACATTGATTAAATTTGAACCAGTTGTTACAAGTCTTGGTTATAAAATTAACTCACTTTTAGGGTGTACTGACCATATAAACTCCACTTTAGCAAAAATATATTTTGTACTAAGAAAGTTATGGCGCACGGCGGACTTTGTACCCCAAGACATAAAATCACGTTTGGTAAAAATATTTATAGTTCCACTGATTTCGTATGGTGAACTCGTTTATGGTCAAATGGAGAGTACAAGATATGTATTTTCCAAGCGCAAGTTTGACCACATTTCACAGTGTAGCTATAAAATACTCAACTGTAGCGTGACTGTTTTCTTAAAATATCATAGCCTTTTATTTCTGCACAAATTGATACATAAAAAAACCCCGGAATACCTTATTAAAAAATTTACTTTTGCGCGTTCACGTAGAACATGCAGCCTCATTGTACCAAGGCACAATTGTCTTGTTTCCTCGAGAATGTTTTTGTCAGTGTTGTAAACACATGGAATTCACTACCGATATGTTTAAAATCCATTGAGAATGCTAGGCGCTTTAATCAGAGGTTTTTGAATACGTTAAGATCTAAACCTTATTAACTCTTGCCTTTTAATTGTGTCAAACTGTACTTTAATCTAATTTGGTTTAATCTATTGAAAGAATTTTTACTTTTATCTAATTTAGTTTAATCTGTTGAAGGAATTTGTGCGAAAAAATTTAGTTTAGGTTAGCGAAAATATTGCATATTATCGTATAAAGTATGATGTGCTTAAAAGACAAGTCTTATGTACAGCCAGCAACATGAATGAATAAACAAACAAACAAACAATGTCTTTTGTTTATTTGGTTTGGTTTTTTATACTGCTGAGTGCAGTTCGCGACGATACAAAACTCCAATAGTTATTAGTCTTTCTATGGTACTTTATAATACTTTATTAGTTACACGATAAATACGATTTCCTATGGAGCGAACAAAGAACACGTCCGTACTCACTCACTATTGAGCGTACATAGCTTTAATTTGACGTAAAATTCGTGATCAGCATGTTTAAAAACCTTACCAGAAACGTTTTTAAAAAGATTCTCTGATTTTTATAACAATTGGCAGTCCGTTTGACAGCTGTCGACTGTCAAACTTTTAATTTGACATAAAATTCGTGACTAGCGTGGCTAAAAACCTAATAAGTGGTATATTCAAAAAGAAGAAGAAGCAGTTGATTTGACAGTTGTCAACTGTCAAACTAAAAATTTTATGGCATATTCAGATTTAGCATCAGTGATGAAATTGATGGTACAATTGTACTTTTTTGGTACATTTTGGAAGCCAAAAGTACATTGGTACTACATTGACATGTTTGATACATTTCTGTCAAGATACGGTACTGCAGCACAATTATGTCGAAATACCACACTCTATTTACTTGGAGTTTTGAATTTTTGTGCATAAAAATATAGTTATATTTTCCTACCATATTTAAATACGTGATGTTTATTATAAAACGGACTCTTACTTGAATAAACAAAAAAAATTGCTGTCATAATAGGTCTTTTCGTAAAATTTTCCTGTAAGTACTAGCAGCCAGAGAATAAAATAATCATAGCGAGTAAAATTGAGGGGAAGACTAAAATATCAGAAAAAGTTATTGAACGCAAAACCAGTAAAAAGTGCAACTTACGCAATTCTGACTTTCTGATAGGTTAATTTGGTAGGAGCATTTTTGTATTCTCCACAGAAAATCATCCAACAGCAAAACTCTGAGCAGTTTGCAAAATTTGCAAAAACTTGCAGCTTTCGAAACAGCTGATCACTTTCACAGTTGCAATATGTGGTTCATTTGGTAATTTATTATCCGCTTGGTGAATTGTCCCCAATTTGGAATTTTTTTACTATTGAATACTTTTGTATAGGAAAAATATATTTCACATATAAATGAGTTATCTCGGAATGAATAAGTTTTTTTTCTAACAAATATTTTTGATACCATATTATGACGCGTTCAATAATAAAAGAATCTCCTCCAAGCACCCTTCCTTGTTTCACCAAAATTAAGTAGATATGGCTACTAATGTGCCTTTAAAATTATCCCATTTTCGTTTTAACGATCAACTGACAAATTCGGTCAGAACCTTTCAGCATTATTATCTATTTTGGTATATTTCTGGGAAAAATATGGTACAGTTGAAACAGTAAATTAACTAAACTAAACTTTTCTTCCTTTCTTTTGTTTATTCACGAACACCAGTGTGTGGTCAGCAGACTTTTTTACTTGTAAGTTTTCGCAGGTAAAATTTTTTCCAGCAGAAAGTGGCAGATTCCAGTGTCATTTTGCGCTCTCGATTTCCCCCACTTTGCAAGATTTTAGGTACGAGAGCACTGCTATTAACTTGTTTATTTCTATAAAAGGAAATATTTTTGTGAAACCTCCATTCCGTTAAATGCAACGGGCTTTTTTGAAAATTTTTAATACTACTAGCACTTAGATAATAAGTATAACTTGTATGCTTTTGTTGATTACCCTGGCGTTTTAGTCGCCTTGATTTGCACTTATGTTTTCCACCTTCGACACGCCATGTTTTATATCATGATTTTTATACAGAAAATCTAAAAACATATGTATATGTACAGTAAACCCGCTTAAGTACCTCACGAAAAATGTCAGCTTTTTGAGGTACTTAGGCGGGTTGGGTACTTAAAAGAACCCGCTTAAGTACCTCGATGCGGGTACTTAAGCGAACATAATTATTGATGTAGTTACATCTTTTTGTTACCTTACATAAATATGTAAATCCTTGAATAAAACATAAAAATTTAATGACGAATACGTATTTATTTAAGATTTTCCGATTAAAATACAGTTCATTCCCTAACGAATACCATTTAAACCTAAGCTTAAGATTTTATAGAATTTTTTATAATTTTTTTGCCGAAGGTGTGTATCGCTGCCCCTGAGATTCAAAATATGCAAATATTTTAAGGAATTTTAAAAGAGCACTTAAAAGAGGAAAATTATAGGTAAAATGGTAAATGGGGTACAAAAAATTGAGGTACTTAAGAGGCATGCACCATGCGCCCGCAACATTTCGGAGATCACTAAACCCGGTCATCGGCCCAGAAATTAAACCTCACGCCTTCGCTTACCTCGACGTCATAATTGTCATAGGCTCCACCTTAGAGGAGCACGTACAAAGCCTACTAGAAGTGATATCACGATTACAACGCGCCAACCTCCGAATCAACCCTGAGAAGTGCGACTTCTTCACGAAGGCAATCCGATACTTGGGTCACGTGGTCAGCGACAAGGGAATTCACACCGACCCCGAGAAGGTAGCCGCGATCCAAGAGCTGAAGCTACCGTCCAACGTTAATGATGTACACCAGTACCTTGGGATAGCCTTCTGGGGCCTGTAACACAAGCCCTACAAGTCCTACAGGTGTTCAGATAAATTAAACAAGTTTAGATATTTTGTACCACAAAGCAACTTGTAGTTACAAGTGGGCACTTGTAATTACTGAACTTTTACAATTGGGAGACGCAGAATATGTGGAAAGGTTCAGACTGAATCGAGAACAGTGTGAAACTGTGCTTAAAGATATAGGCCCAGTAATCGTGAATAAAAAAATTCGATGCTACGGTTTCTTAGAATTTCTTTCTTTTCTTTAACTTTTTGTAAATAATGCAACTTTTTTCAATATTGTTGGTTTTGCAGCCATATTTAATTAATAATATACATATGTGTTATTTTTCACCGCAAGTGCTATACGTCCGCCGAAAACAAATGCCCGTAATGGAGATCTTGTTAATAGGAACACAATTTTTGATACGATACCATATCGATATTTTTGCCATTCGATACCGATACTTTTTAATCAATAGTTTTCAAACGATATTTTTTGGAATCGAGTAACAGAACCCTAGTATCGTATCGAGTCGCAAAAGTGCATTACAAAGTTAATTTCATTAATAATATATTGTACTTTATAATACAAATAGTTTGTTTTTATTAAATTCTTTTTGATATGTTTAAGGAAAAGTACATATCGTCGGTGACACTGCAAAACGGTCTATGTCTATTACTACCCTTGACACTTAGATGGTCTCTTACGTGCACCGGAATGCATCTGAAAATCGTCACACCCTAATAAAGGAATGACAAACCTGTCTACCTTTGGCTGATGAAGATGAACGGTTGCCAGAAGCGATAAGATACAGATAACACATCAATTAAGCACCAGAGGTAATAAGTGGCATAGAACGTTTTGCAGTATCACCGACGATATGGGCATTTCCAATCTGGCGTGACGTGAAAAATGTTAAAAAATTTAAGGAAAACGTCAATATCTGAAAACTCTTGCACTTCGTCAACAATATTTGTAGTAATATTTGAAATATTTGAGGTTAATTTTCCGAGATCAAAAATGTAAAAATCATTCCTGCTTTTTTATCAGCCGAAGTATCTGTCGTAACGTTACAAGACATTGCGCAAGTGTAATATGAATTTTATGTCGAATATATTTTTTATTTTGACTTCAGCGCACCCTAGCGATTCCAGTTATTGCAAATCTATGTCGTCGCTCAACTGTGACGTTTTTCTTGTGATTTCAATCTTGAAATACTCTCTCAAGAAAAAAGCTTTTAAACTTTCCCACTGTGAGGTGAATATTTGTATCAAACTCACAAAATAAAAAAAGAACAAAAAATGGAGCAAATAAACAAAAAGTAAGTAATTTTGAAATTGAAATACATATTTACGAGTCTATTTCTCTTGATCATTTCTATTTTTATGTACAGCAAATATGAAAGGACAACGCAAGAGCAGCTTCAATATTTTGTAAGTTTCTGCAAGCAGCATCCCGAACTGCAACCAGGGAAAATAAGCCACATTCACTACGCGCTGTGCAGAACTTGTTTCAGAAACTGGCGGAGCACCTGAACGCGATGAGAGGACCAACAAGGGCAGCGTCGAAGTGGAAAGAGGAAACTATAGGATACGCACGTAAATGCAAAATACGAGCGAATAAATACTTGTGCCGGCAGGCAAGTCAAATATATATTCATAAAATAACAATGGACACCGCCAATTTTTGGATCGTTAATAACTGTTATTCATTGAACGCATTGCGAAATGAGAAACATGTTGATTTGTTTTAGTTATGGGAACCAATTTATGGCGTTATTATTCAAGAAAAGATGGTACGGTTTTAATAAAATATTTTATTCATTTCAGAGTTTATCACACTGGAAGTGCCAGATTCGCTCTCGTGCTCACAAAGCAAAAGCCTAATTGCAAAGCACTGGGGGGGCCCCGAACCCCCGATATAATGGAGTTTGAACATCAGGCAATTGAAACATTTGGTACAGCAGTAGTGGATGGATTGCCTGAACTCGTGAATATGGGTTTTGAGGTGATTAAAATTTTCATATTTGCACGCTGTATTGATTGTTTACTTTCTTGATTTATTTAAATTAGGAAAGCTCATGTTTGCAAGATGTGGTGGTGGTTAGTGGCGCTGAGAACTACATTGAATTTTCCTCTGATGTGATTATGATACCACTTTCCAAACATATCTAATGAGAATTCAAATTTGTTCTCAGGACCGCATACCCACCTCAATCCGATATCTCTGCTCGCAACTTCACGAAAAATAACATTGGAGGCGGTGTATAATGTTGCTCTGGAAGACATGAGAGTACGTCAATAGCGGGATGAGCTTGAAATTGCTCAGCAGGGGGCATTGACTGTAGCAATTACAAAATTAACAGAAACCGTAGACAAGTTTTGTGAAAAATTTAATAACATGTAAACGTAAAAACAATTCCGCTAACTTATGTATACGTTTTAGAATTATACTTGTTTAGTTGTTACTAATTTCTCTAAAATAAAATCATTAATTTAAAGATGTAGAAAGAACGATTTTTTATGTTTTGGCTGTAAACTTTACATTTGCAGATATGAATACATAAGTCGGATTTGAAATTTTTTTAATTATAACGATAATATATATCTTCATCTTATTCTTGCTTCTTCTGTTAAGTTAATATTCTCTGCGATTCTATCACGACTATTTGAGAAACCATTATCGGCGCCATCTTCATCAACATCAGTGTCTATGCCATATTTGATCAGGATATTATGAAATACAGTACACGCATAAATTATGCCCGCTGCCATGTATCGCGTTGACTGTTATGTTGACTCATCAAATGAGTTCTTACCTGCGAAGTTTTCCATATCCCCGAATCGTGGCAGGATCCTGGAAACATAGCGTTTACAGATGTAAAAATCAAACGATGGTTGCACACCTAAAAAGGGAAAGAGTTTTATGTTAGTATTTAACGTACCGTAGATTCACATATACACTGCTTCGACATCTATGCTGTAATATCCTTTTCTGTTCATGTAAAGTGATGTAGGATTTCTGCTGTCCCTTGAAAAAGGTAAAATTATGCTAATGTGAGTGCAGTCAATAGCCCCAATTGTACCTTTAATTTCAAATGCTTGATAAAACCTACAATATAAATAATGTCATAATGTTTTATATAAAAATATAGTTTATAATAGAACAAAAAGCATAAAAATAAAATTTTAAAACTTTGTGCGAAACTAATAAAAATTCAGTATATTTACATACAAATTTACAACTTTAAATTCATTTTTTTTAGTATGCATATTTGTAACTCATTAAGTTATAGTAATAGTAAAGTGCAAGTTTCAATTTGCTAAAAAACCGCTTTGATTTTTGCCAATTACAAAGAAATTTTCGAACATAATTTATATGGAAAAACTGCGTGACACTGTCAACAAAAAAATTGCAAAAATGGACGCGATTTTTAGCAACTTTAAATTTGCATTTTGTTACTATAAAATTTGATGGACTACAAAACTGCATACACAAAATTCTTCTAGAAAATCTAGTTGAATAGTTGCAAATTGTATGCAAATTTATTGAATGATGTTCCTTAGTTTTGCACAAGGTTTAGAAGTTTTATTTTTTGTTGTATTATAAACTACATTTTTGTAAAAGATTATAAAAAAAAATTAGTAGTAGTAACTTTGCAAACACTTCGAAAAATTGTCTATACGATGGCTTTAGGGATACACGGCACTTGCTTAATTACCATTTGCCTTATCCTAATTTGTAACATGTTTTTTCTTATTCATTTTGTGGAAATTTTATCTCGTCCCTTTTTGCTGCAGTAATTAGTTTGGAAATGTGATGCAGGGATCGAGATGTTGTTGTATAATTGTTTCCAACACATTTTTGATATGAACCGTGTGCAAAAAGATATATAGACGCGAGGAAACGAAGAGTGAACGGAATGGTGGACTTTTGAGTATCAAGCGGTTCCAATTCAAGTATCAGATCCTGGCAGAGATTTTTGGGAAAGCGAAAGTTTCTTATGAAGACCGCCTCTGGAATAGCAAACGGATCGCTATCATTGCGCAACACTCTCAAAATTCTTCTACGTTCGTTTTGCTAAAATAGCAGCGCACACATGCATAGGGATGTTCCGATACAAGTAAATACGAGTATGTACTTGATACTTTTGTTTCAATACCAACTACTTTTTTTACTCGAATCGTTTTATCGATACCTACTTGTTATCGAAAGAAAAGTACTTGTATCGAATCGATTTGAGCAGGTGCCATCTTGTCGACAATATTTGTTCTATGGAAAATAATTGCTTCGTTTTTATGAAAAATAATTTCTTTAAGCAATGACACCGCCAAAATCTAACTGCCCGTCTCCACAGGATAAAGTTTATATCTTGATACATATGTTAGAATATAAATAGCCAATGGAGACCGCTCATTGCTCTTCAAGAGCAATATATATCAGAGCTTATATCTTGCCATATATTGCCGGCAATTTGGTAGTTTGACAGCTACATTTTCATTTGCACGAAAACTTCGTGTCGGCAACATTATTGATATTTTAATATAAAAGCAAAAATTGAGCTGTTTTCTGTCAAAATATTTGTTATTATGTACTTGGGTGTAAAATAATATATTTTTTTCAAATTTTATAAGTGATTAAATCCGGCAAAAATGTGTTTCTTACAAATGCTTATATCAAGATATAAAAAGCCTACACAAATATTGCCACTGATATAACTTATATCTAGTGACCAAAATTACAGCTGGACAGCAATCAATTTTATCCTGTGGAGACGGCCAGTAAAGTGTGGATATAATTTTACAAAGCTAGTGATACCACAATAAAGTGCAAGCAATGCATTGTAGCCGTAAAGTTTTGTGGGAACCTTTCAAAGGTTGAATTTTTTGTCTAAGTAATCGTATTACTTCTAGTGCTACTAATGAAGAAATATACATATTGATACCTCAACTGAAAACATATTGAAAATTTCGAACTCTCTGCCGAGATAGGTCGATCTGCCACTCAGGTGCCGCTCAAGGTATGTCACAGATAACGTATGAAAAATAATTTCGCTTTGTTGCATGTAAAAGGATGAAAAGTTATCGATATAAGTAGGTATCGATACATTCGGTTGACTCATATAAGTAGTATCGAAATAGCGATTTGAGTAAACTCATTTGAGTAGGTATCGATACTTTGATGGTATCGGAAAGTCCCTACACATGCACCATTTTCAAATGTAAATGTTTAAAAAGAGCAAAAATGAAATCCAAAAAATTTCGTTTCGTTTATATTAACAGTTTTTGAATTTCTGACCTGATGCTTTGATGCTCACAATTTTTCTGTCAAATGTGATGGTTTGAGCTTATGAGCTTTTGTAAGGATACGAAGATACGCCAATTGTGAAAAGACTCTCAGTTGTGACTGGGGTGAATTTTGTGATCTCGTTATAATACGGCTGTAAATCTCTTACTTTCTACAAAGAACATATAATAAAAATTACAACGATAAATTCCGGTAGTGTCGCTTCCAGTGGCTGGGTATCGGCTCCGTGTTCCGTTACCGGCCCGTTATGTCGTGGTGGCGTGGCTTTAGTTTTGGTGGGCAGCGCTCTGCTAGCGCCGATGAGTGGCGCGTTGCTAATGCCGGTAAGAGGCGCTCTGGGTTCGTCGGTGTGTGACGTTCTGGTGACAGCGGAGAGAGGTGCTCTGACGTAGTTGACAAGCGGCACTCTGATCGCGCTGATGCCGTTGGTAAGTGGCGCTCTGTTCACGCATGGTTGGCGCTCTGGCAACGTCGGTGAGTCGCATTCTGGTCGCGCCGGTGAATAGTGCTTACAACGTCAATGAGTCGCACTCTGGTCGCGTCGGTGAGTCGCACTTACGGTTGCCTGACGTACTGATTTTATCAGTACAGTACTGATTTTTCAACTTTCGTACTGATTTTATTCATTCCTTCAATCAGCACGCTAATGTCCTGAGTTTTTTAAATTTGTACTGATTTGTACTGATTTTTCAAATCTGAGCAATCAAATTTGTAATAGAGTTCTTCCCACCGAGCTTGGTACGCGGTAACTCAATTGTAAAAGTTCAGTAATTACAAGTGCGCCACTTGTAACTACAAGTTGCTTTGTGGTACAAAATATCTAAACTTGTTTAATTTATTTGAACACTTGTAGGACTTGTAGGGCTTGTGTTACAGGCCCCAGAAGGCTATCCCAAGGTACTGGCGTACATCAACGTGTGGGTCGGCGCTTGGTTTCCAGGATTTGTCGTTGGAAGTTGGTGCGTTGGTGTCTGGTGCTGCTGTAGTGGTACCGCCAACTGGCTCTGTGTTGAGTTTTCTATAAAAGTATTCGTACTCTCCTCAGGTTCATTCGGTGGTACTGGTGTCTTTCGCTCCTCCTCGTCCTTCTAGGTGCCCTCACTGTCTTTATTCGTGATATCGATCGACAGGAAATTAGCGAGAATCTCCAGGTCGTTGGGCGCCTTGGACGTCAGAGCCGTTATCCTCTTGCGTATTTCTCGGGCGGTAACCACACGCTCGATCCCCAATTCCTGTGCAATGGACACTAGTTGTTCCTTTGGTGTATTATCCAGCCACGTTGTGCTGACTAGCTCCGCCATTTTACTCGCGTTCTTTGTTCAAAATTAAATTTTCTTTTGCACGTATATGATTTGCCAAGGGTCCCTGCTCGGGCGGCAATTGTAACGAAGCATTTTTGCTGCCCTGACACTTATTCTACAACGCTGGGGTATACTCGCCGTGTCCAGGGTCCGTTACAATACATTTGTAGTTTTGAAGCTCCGATAAATCCTTCTTTATTAACTAACAGCTCAATTATTGGCTGATTTTACAATAGAGTAAGGTGGGCTCTCTGTGAGGTTTTTCTTGTGATTTCAATCTTGAAATACTCTCTCAAGAAAAAAGCTTTTAAACTTTCCCACTGTGAGGTGAATATTTGTTTGCTGAGGACAGGTATCAAACTCACAAAATAAAAAAACAAAAAATCAGCAAATAAACAAAAGGTAAGTAATTTTGAAATTGAAATACATATTTACGAGTTTATTTCTCTTGATCATTTCTATTTTTATGTACAGCAAATATGAAAGGACAACGCAAGAGCAGCTTCAATATTTTGTAAGTTTCTGCAAGCAGCATCCCGAACTGCAACCAGGGAAAATAAGCCACATTCACTACGCGCTGTGCAGAACTTGTTTCAGAAACTGGCGGAGCACCTGAACGCGATGAGAGGACCAACAAGGGCAGCGTCGAAGTGGAAAGAGGAAACTATAGGATACGCACGTAAATGCAAAATACGAGCGAATAAATACTTGTGCCGGCAGGCAAGTCAAATATATATTCATAAAATAACAATGGACACCGCCAATTTTTGGATCGTTAATAACTGTTATTCATTGAACGCATTGCGAAATGAGAAACATGTTGAT